AGTTAGCGTAGCACGGCGTCCTGATAAAGCAGTTAGCGTAGCATGACGTCCTGATAAGGCAGTTAGTGTAGCATGACGTCCTGATAAAGCAGTTAGCGTAGCACGGCGTCCTGATAAAGCAGTTAGCGTAGCACGGCGTCCTGATAAAGCAGTTAGCGTAGCATGACGTCCTGATAAAGCAGTTAGTGTAGCACGGCGTGCAGCAGCAGTGTGTTGAACGTGTCCTTATTTGACCCTCCATTGGACCAGAACTGATTTCTTTTCTGGCGAGGAGCGAGCAGCAGGTTTACTCTGAGCATCTGCGACGCTGAAAACACAGAGGGCTCTGAGCGAGAGACTGGAATCACAGCCATTTTACTTTGATTAAAGAACAAAATGTACTTTGTTCTTATGAAAAACAATGTTGTCCACATTTGGTCCAACTCAGAGAACGACGACAAAGGGACGGTTTGTAAATACTTAGGTCCAGGTCCGTGTCGGTCCAGACTTAGGTCCAGGTCCGTGTCGGTCCAGACTTAGGTCCAGGTCCGTGTCGGTCCAGACTTAGGTCCAGGTCCGTGTCGGTCCAGACTCAGGTCCAGGTCCGTGTCGGTCCAGACTCAGGTCCAGGTCCGTGTCGGTCCAGACTCAGGTCCAGGTCCGTGTCGGTCCAGACTCAGGTCCAGGTCCGTGTCGGTCCAGACTCAGGTCCAGGTCCGTGTCGGTCCAGACTTAGGTCCAGGTCCGTGTCGGTCCAGACTTAGGTCCAGGTCCGTGTCGGTCCAGACTTAGGTCCAGGTCCGTGTCGGTCCAGACTTAGGTCCAGGTCCGTGTCGGTCCAGACTCAGGTCCAGGTCCGTGTCGGTCCAGACTCAGGTCCAGGTCCGTGTCGGTCCAGACTCAGGTCCAGGTCCGTGTCGGTCCAGACTCAGCATGTTTCCCCCTGGAGCACCCCAGCGAGCACATTACAAAAGAATACTTATAATAATCTGTTCAACGTTTAGACAGGTCTGTGTCTGTGTACGTCTGTCCGTCTGTACGTCTGTCCGTCTGTACGTCTGTCCGTCTGTACGTCTGTACGTCTGTACGTCTGTACGTCTGTCCGTCTGTCCGTCTGTACGTCTGTACGTCTGTCCGTCTGTACGTCTGTCCGTCTGTACGTCTGTCCGTCTGTACGTCTGTCCGTCTGTACGTCTGTACGTCTGTCCGTCTGTACGTCTGTACGTCTGTCCGTCTGTACGTCTGTCCGTCTGTCCGTCTGTACGTCTGTACGTCTGTACGTCTGTCCGTCTGTACGTCTGTACGTCTGTCCGTCTGTACGTCTGTACGTCTGTCCGTCTGTACGTCTGTCCGTCTGTACGTCTGTACGTCTGTCCGTCTGTCCGTCTGTCCGTCTGTCCGTCTGTACGTCTGTCCGTCTGTACGTCTGTACGTCTGTACGTCTGTACGTCTGTACGTCTGTCCGTCTGTACGTCTGTACGTCTGTCCGTCTGTCCGTCTGTCCGTCTGTCCGTCTGTACGTCTGTCCGTCTGTACGTCTGTACGTCTGTCCGTCTGTCCGTCTGTACGTCTGTACGTCTGTCCGTCTGTACGTCTGTCCGTCTGTACGTCTGTACGTCTGTCCGTCTGTACGTCTGTACGTCTGTACGTCTGTACGTCTGTACGTCTGTACGTCTGTACGTCTGTCCGTCTGTCCGTCTGTCCGTCTGTCCGTCTGTACGTCTGTACGTCTGTCCGTCTGTACGTCTGTCCGTCTGTCCGTCTGTACGTCTGTCCGTCTGTACGTCTGTACGTCTGTACGTCTGTACGTCTGTACGTCTGTCCGTCTGTCCGTCTGTACGTCTGTCCGTCTGTACGTCTGTACGTCTGTACGTCTGTCCGTCTGTACGTCTGTCCGTCTGTACGTCTGTCCGTCTGTACGTCTGTACGTCTGTACGTCTGTACGTCTGTACGTCTGTCCGTCTGTACGTCTGTACGTCTGTACGTCTGTACGTCTGTACGTCTGTCCGTCTGTCCGTCTGTACGTCTGTACGTCTGTACGTCTGTCGTCCGTCTGTCCGTCTGTCCGTCTGTACGTCTGTACGTCTGTCCGTCTGTCCGTCTGTCCGTCTGTCGTCTGTCCGTCTGTACGTCTGTACGTCTGTACGTCTGTCCGTCTGTACGTCTGTCCGTCTGTACGTCTGTACGTCTGTCCGTCTGTCCGTCTGTCCGTCTGTCGTCTGTCCGTCTGTCTGTCGTCTGTCCGTCTGTCCGCTGTCTGTACGTCTGTCCGTCTGTCCGTCTGTCCGTCTGTCCGTCTGTCCGTCTGTCGTCTGTCTGTCTGTCCGTCTGTACGTCTGTCCGTCTGTCCGTCTGTCCGTCTGTACGTCTGTACGTCTGTCCGTCTGTCCGTCTGTCGTCTGTACGTCTGTCCGTCTGTCCGTCTGTCCGTCTGTACGTCTGTCCGTCTGTACGTCTGTACGTCTGTACGTCTGTCCGTCTGTACGTCTGTACGTCTGTCGTCTGTACGTCTGTCCGTCTGTACGTCTGTCCGTCTGTACGTCTGTACGTCTGTCCGTCTGTCCGTCTGTACGTCTGTACGTCTGTACGTCTGTCCGTCTGTCCGTCTGTACGTCTGTCCGTCTGTACGTCTGTACGTCTGTACGTCTGTCCGTCTGTCCGTCTGTACGTCTGTCCGTCTGTCCGTCTGTACGTCTGTCCGTCTGTCCGTCTGTACGTCTGTACGTCTGTCCGTCTGTCCGTCTGTCCGTCTGTACGTCTGTACGTCTGTCCGTCTGTACGTCTGTCCGTCTGTACGTCTGTCCGTCTGTACGTCTGTACGTCTGTCCGTCTGTACGTCTGTCCGTCTGTACGTTTGTCCGTCTGTACGTCTGTACGTCTGTACGTCTGTACGTCTGTCCGTCTGTACGTCTGTATCTGTCTGTACGTCTGTCCGTCTGTCCGTCTGTACGTCTGTACGTCTGTCCGTCTGTACGTCTGTACGTCTGTCCGTCTGTACGTCTGTACGTCTGTCCGTCTGTACGTCTGTCCGTCTGTCCGTCTGTACGTCTGTCCGTCTGTACGTCTGTCCGTCTGTACGTCTGTACGTAGTCTGTCGTCTGTCCGTCTGTACGTCTGTCCGTCTGTACTGTCTGTACGTCTGTACGTCTGTACGTCTGTCCGTCTCTGTCCGTCTGTACGTCTGTCCGTCTGTCCGTCTGTACGTCTGTACGTCTGTCCGTCTGTACGTCTGTCCGTCTGTCCGTCTGTACGTCTGTCCGTCTGTCCGTCTGTACGTCTGTCCGTCTGTACGTCTGTCCGTCTGTACGTCTGTACGTCTGTCCGTCTGTACGTCTGTCCGTCTGTACGTCTGTCCGTCTGTACGTCTGTACGTCTGTACGTCTGTACGTCTGTACGTCTGTACGTTTGTCCGTCTGTACGTCTGTACGTCTGTACGTCTGTACGTCTGTCCGTCTCTGTCCATCCGTCACTAGTCTGATTAAAGGCCAATGAAGAAAGGTTAATTCAAATAAAAACCTCAGACTCTTACGACAAAAGGAGAACTCCATGAGTGACAGTTGCTTCAGAGGTAAAACTGCATTTGTAAAATACATCTAATTTAAAGTATAAACACATGTTATTGTATATTTATGTTTCCATATTTGCAGGTGTAAGTATATATTGTACAGTAGGCAACATGCACAAACGCTGTGTAAAGATTACAAATACTTTTTATTAGAAACACACTGCCCAGTTACCAGAGAGCTGCTGTTTCAGTCTTCCTGAAAATGTGAGACAGGCTTCTTCTCTGACAATGATCAAATCCATGTTAAAACAGCTCTGTTCGTATCTCAGTCTAATGCTCTGTGATCATTTATGTTTTAAGCCTTGTGTTTGCACTGTGCTATACAGATAAACTTGCCTTGTATGGTTCAGATAGAAACACTCTCTCAGCCAATCAGCTCTGAGGACAGAAACACTCACTCAGCCAATCAGCTCTGAGGACAGAAACATACGCTCAGCCAATCAGCTCTGAGGACAGAAACATACACAGCCAATCAGCTCTGAGGACAGAAACACTCTCTCAGCCAATCAGCTCTGAGGACAGAAACACTCACTCAGCCAATCAGCTCTGAGGACAGAAACACTCTCTCAGCCAATCAGCTCTGAGGACAGAAACACTCACTCAGCCAATCAGCTCTGAGGACAGAAACACTCTCTCAGCCAATCAGCTCTGAGGACAGAAACACTCACTCAGCCAATCAGCTCTGAGGACAGAAACACTCTCTCAGCCAATCAGCTCTGAGGACAGAAACATACGCTCAGCCAATCAGCTCTGAGGACAGAAACACTCTCTCAGCCAATCAGCTCTGAGGACAGAAACATACACAGCCAATCAGCTCTGAGGACAGAGTTCATGCAAAAGATGTGTTTTAATGAGATCAAGGCTTTCTGTTGTTTACAAAATGTTACAAGTGTAATTTGTGGGGATTCTAAAAGTACCGCACACACACACACACACAGATACACATGAAATGAATAATCCAATATTTTCTTATGTAAGTAAGTAAGTAATCTTTATTTATATACCGCCTTTTCACTGCACATCGGAGTCTCAAAGCGGTTTACAATTGTTTTGTTTTTTTTGGGAGTGGGGCCAGTACAGGAGGCACATGCCTGACCTATTGTACATATTTTTAGTGGTAGGGGAAACCGGAGTACCCGGAGGAAACCTACGCAGACACGGGGAGAACATGCAAACTCCACTGAGAAAGGCCCTGGTCCAACCGGGATTCGAACCCAGGACCTTCTTGCTGAGAGGCGAGAGTGCTAACCACTCAGCCACCGTGCCACCCACTTGTGGCTCTAAACCGGTTCTAACACTAATCAAATATCATCCCGGGGCCAAGATGGTTCATTCGTGGGCCGCATCTGGCCCCCAGGCCTTGACTTTGAGACCCATGTCATAGAGCAGATAAACGTCTTCACCAAACGGCGTCTTAACTCTGGCTTCTCTGCGCCCTTCACGCTCTGACCTCCAGATGGCGACACCGCGGGGGGCGCACGGCGATGAGAGGAAAATTAAAAAGTATGGGAGGCTGCTGGAGCCGAGGCTGCAGGGAATCAGAACTGTTCTAGACCCGTTTAGCCACAAGTCCAGGTCTGAAGAGACTGCAGTGAGTGAAGGACCGGTCCTGCTCCGAGTCCAGGTCTGAAGAGACTGCAGTGAGTGAAGGACCGGTCCTGCTCCGAGTCCAGGTCTGAAGAGACTGCAGTGAGTGAAGGACCGGTCCTGCTCCGAGTCCAGGTCTGAAGAGACTGCAGTGAGTGAAGGACCGGTCCTGCTCCGAGTCCAGGTCTGAAGAGACTGCAGTGAAGGACCGGTCCTGCTCCGAGTCCAGGTCTCAAGAGACTGCAGTGAGTGAAGGGGATGGACCGGTCCTGACCATCTGTAGAAAGTTCTGTTTCTCTGCTTTCTACAAATCCATCTGTTTCAGCATCTGCAGTTTCTAAAGCCAGATACAGCTCTAGCCTTCTACAGAAATAGCAGCAGTATTGTACATGAGGAAGGCCAAGTTTACTTTGCTTTCAGTCCATTTTAGTACGATCAGTTCAGTTCTATCAAATATGACCATTATTATTATTTTTCTATTTTTAGAAACTTTTCCCGTCATTGTCCCTCCCTGGACCCCGAGGACCGAGTCTGAACCCCGAGGACCGAGTCTGAACCCCGAGGACCGAGTCTGAACCCCGAGGACCGAGTCTGAACCCCGAGGACCGAGTCTGAACCCCGAGGACCGAGTCTGAACCCCGAGGACCGAGTCTGAACCCCGAGGACCCAGTCTGAACCCCGAGGACCGAGTCTGAACCCAGAGGACCGAGTCTGAACCCTGAGGACCCAGTCTGAACCCTGAGGACCCAGTCTGAACCCCGAGGACCCAGTCTGAAACCTGAGGACCCAGTCTGAACCCCGAGGACCCAGTCTGAACCCTGAGGACCCAGTCTGAACCCCGCGGACCCAGTCTGAACCCCGCGGACCCAGTCTGAACCCTGAGGACCCAGTCTGAACCCCGAGGACCCAGTCTGAACCCTGAGGACCCAGTCTGAACCCTAAGGACACAGTCTGAACCCTGAGGACCCAGTCTGAACCCTGAGGACCCAGTCTGAAACCTGAGGACCCAGTCTGAACCCTGAGGACCCAGTCTGAACCCTAAGGACACAGTCTGAACCCTGAGGACCCAGTCTGAACCCTGAGGACCCAGTCTGAACCCTGAGGACCCAGTCTGAACCCTGAGGACCCAGTCTGAACCCTCAGTACTCGGTCTGAACCCCCACTCTCTGGAACTCTCTGGAACTCTCTGGAACTCTCTGAAACTCTCTGGAACTCTCTCCCAAAACACATCAGGACCTCGGACTCGCTTCAGAACTTCCAATCCCTGCTCAAAACTGCAGAACCTTCACTTTTATATGTTTTCTGTTTGTTTCTTCCTCCCTGTGCCTTTGCAAAGTGTCTCTGCGAGTCCAGAATGGTCCATATCACTGCAGTGTGTTTTTCAGTCATATTCAGAGTTTGTCAGTGGGAGTTGGAACAAGCGCACTTTAAACAGAATCAAAGTAAACACATTTTCAGGTCCAGCTCTCACTTGTTTCTCCGTGATTCGCTAAAACCTCGGGTCGTGGACGGAGTGACAGCTCTGAGCAGCCGAGGCCACAGTCAGAATCATCCGTGACGTGTGTTAGCGCCCGTGTTCCAACATATGATGTGAATTTGCGGCGACGCTAACTGCGGCGCGAGCATGAAATGTCATCGCTGACGGAGAGACTGTTAATAATGAATGATGGAGTGTGGACGTGGCACTAAACGAGTCTATGGGTCTAAATAAAACATGTGACGGAGAACGGCAGAGTAAATATGTACTGCACATTCACACTGGTTTGGAACGAGTTTGACTGGACTCACAACAGCCGACTTCCAGACTTTAGACGGATTGCTTATTTAGCTTTGAGTACACTGTAAAAATGATAAAATATGAGGTAATAATTGCTTGAATTGAGTGTGTTTTTAATCTTAATCTGACACATTCTGACTGTGTTAAAACCATGGATCTATAATAATAACTGCATAGAGTTTTACAGCTTACAGCTGTCCCACCCATGGGCACAGGGGGCGCTGTGGTGCTGCAGACTACATTCACGAGGGCTACACAGAAAAAAGTCCCATAGAACTCAATGTAAATTAAAACAGCTCGACCTCAGCTGACAGAGAACCTACAGAGAACCTGACAGAGAACCTGACAGAGAACCTACAGAGAACCTGACAGAGAACCTACAGAGAACCTGACAGAGAACCTACAGAGAACCTACAGAGAACCTGACAGAGAACCTGACAGAGAACCTGACAGAGAACCTACAGAGAACCTGACAGAGAACCTAGAGAGAACCTGACAGAGAACCTGACAGAGAACCTACAGAGAACCTACAGAGAACCTGACAGAGAACCTACAGAGAACCTACAGAGAACCTGACAGAGAACCTGACAGAGAACCTGACAGAGAACCTGACAGAGAACCTACAGAGAACCTGACAGAGAACCTAGAGAGAACCTGACAGAGAACCTGACAGAGAACCTGACAGAGAACCTACAGAGAACCTACAGAGAACCTGACAGAGAACCTGACAGAGAACCTACAGAGAACCTGACAGAGAACCTGACAGAGAACCTGACAGAGAACCTGACAGAGAACCTGACAGAGAGCCTACAGAGAACCTACAGAGAACCTGACAGAGAACCTACAGAGAACCTGACAGAGAACCTGACAGAGAACCTACAGAGAACCTAGAGAGAACCTGACAGAGAACCTGACAAAGAACCTGACAGAGAACCTACAGAGAACCTACAGAGAACCAGACAGAGAACCTGACAGAGAACCTGACAGAGAACCTACAGAGAACCTGACAGAGAACTTGACAGAGAACCTACAGAGAACCTGACAGAGAACCTACAGAGAACCTGACAGAGAACCTGACAGAGAACTAGAGAACCTGACAGAGAACCTGACAGAGAACCTGACAGAGAACCTGACAGAGAACCTGACAGAGAACCTGACAGAGAACCTGACAGAGAACCTACAGAGAACCTGACAGAGAACCTACAGAGAACCTGACAGAGAACCTGACAGAGAACCTGACAGAGAACCTGACAGAGAACCTGACAGAGAGCCTACAGAGAACCTAACAGAGAGCCTACAGAGAACCTGACAGAGAACCTACAGAGAACCTGACAGAGAAACTGACAGAGAACCTACAGAGAACCTGACAGAGAACCTGACAGAGAACCTACAGAGAACCTAGAGAGAACCTGACAGAGAACCTGACAAAGAACCTGACAGAGAGCCTACAGAGAACCTACAGAGAACCAGACAGAGAACCTGACAGAGAACCTGACAGAGAACCTGACAGAGAACCTACAGAGAACCTGACAGAGAACCTGACAGAGAACCTACAGAGAACCTGACAGAGAACCTGACAGAGAACCTGACAGAGAACCTGACAGAGAACCTGACAGAGAACCTGACAAGAACCTGACAGAGAACCTGACAGAGAACCTGACAGAGAACCTGACAGAGAACCTGACAGAGAACCTGACAGAGAACCTGACAGAGAACCTGACAGAGAACCTGACAGAGAACCTGACAGAGAACCTACAGAGAACCTGACAGAGAACCTGACAGAGAACCTACAGAGAACCTACAGAGAGCCCACAGAGAACCTGACTGGGAACCTGACAGAGAACCTACAGAGAACCTGACAGAGAACCTACAGAGAACCTGACAGAGAACCTACAGAGAACCTGACAGAGAACCTACAGAGAACCTGACAGAGAACCTACAGAGAACCTGACAGAGAACCTGACAGAGAACCTGACAGAGAACCTGACAGAGAACCTGACAGAGAACCTACAGAGAACCTACAGAGAACCTACAGAGAACCTGACAGAGAACCTGACAGAGAACCTGACAGAGAACCTGACAGAGAACCTGACAGAGAACCTGACAGAGAACCTACAGAGAACCTGACAGCTTTGAGGACCCCTCGGAAACGAGATGATTCATCTCAAGGGGTTATTCCTCTTAATAAACGTCTTTCTTTCATAAAGGTCAGATTTTGTGGGATGTTAGTGTCCCTTGTCGTCCTGAACTTTTTTTCTTCTTAAATCCTTCAGTTTTCTTTAAATCCACACTTTACTGCCACAAACTCTGCTCCTTTCCTTCCCGCTCTGACTCCGCTCTGCTGCTGCTCTGATCAGCTCTGATTGGTCAGAGGCCGAGCCCCTCTGTGCATGTGCACGAGAGCCACGCCATGCCTCATGGGAGATAATCCACTGACCAGAACCAGGACCAGACTGATGCCCAAATATGGGCGAGTTCCTCTGATATGTCAGCACCGTGAAGTCTCATGAACTACTGAGCACAAGCCATTCATTTGAATAGGACACCATCTTGGACTCTCTGGTCTCTCTCTCTGGTCTCTCTCTCTGGTCTCTCTCTCAGGTCTCTCTCTCTGGTCTCTCTCTCTCTGGTCTCTCTCTCTCTGGTCTCTCTCTCTCTCTGGTCTCTCTCTCTGGTCTCTCTCTGGTCTCTCTCTGGTCTCTCTCTGGTCTCTCTCTCTGGTCTCTCTCTCTGGTCTCTCTCTCTGGTCTCTCTCTGGTCTCTCTCTGGTCTCTCTCTGGTCTCTCTCTGGTCTCTCTCTGGTCTCTCTCTGGTCTCTCTCTGGTCTCTCTCTCTGGTCTCTCTCTCTCTGGTCTCTCTCTCAGGTCTCTCTCTGGTCTCTCTCTCTCTGGTCTCTCTCTGGTCTCTCTCTGGTCTCTCTCTCTGGTCTCTCTCTCTCTGGTCTCTCTCTCAGGTCTCTCTCTCAGGTCTCTCTCTGGTCTCTCTCTCTCTGGTCTCTCTCTCTGGTCTCTCTCAGGTCTCTCTCTGGTCTCTCTCTCTCTGGTCTCTCTCTGGTCTCTCTCTATCTCTGGTCTCTCTCTGGTCTCTCTCTGGTCTCTCTCTGGTCTCTCTCTGGTCTCTCTCTGGTCTCTCTCTCTGGTCTCTCTCTCTGGTCTCTCTCTGGTCTCTCTCTCTGGTCTCTCTCTCTGGTCTCTCTGTGGTCTCTCTCTCT